AAAGAAAGAAAGAAAGAAAGAAAGAAAGAAAGAAAGAAAGAAAGATTTTAAGAGCAATAATAAGAACTAAGAGGAACTAAAATTGAGCAGAGAAAATGAAAAAGAAAGACAAATAACAGAAAAAGCTAAAAGTGCAATAAGAAAAAAAGTAGAAGAAAGTAGAAAAAAAGAAAGATATAAAGAAAGATATAAAGGTATAAAGCAGTGGTTTCCGATATTCTTCACAGCAATTGTAAGGACAATTATATTTTAACCTCTCTCTCTAAAATGACATCATAATACTCTTCTGTCTATACTCTCTCCTGTCTAATCATCAAAGCCATAAATCCAAGTACATTTTTTTCATTTTTATGCAAAAGTCCATAAGAACTTTCCAATCACCCATAAACGTAGATATTGTCCTTTCTCTAATCCAAGAAGTCAGTCTGTCCATCTCAGCACGTTCTGTCCATTTCACCAACCATTCCTCCCTGGTGGGTAATGCTGAATCTTTCCATCTTTGTGCATCTAATAATCTCACCGCAGTAACCAGAAAGTTCTTGAACATGAGTTCTCCAAGGTAACTTAGGCCTGCTTTCCTACCATGGCATAACTCCCCTTGTCCCCCTGTCAGCTAGCTGTGGATGATGATGACTATAGTCCAACACAAGGTGGCAGGCTGGGGAAGATAGGTCTTGTTTGTGCAAAGCCTCTGGGACATATGGAGTTCCTTGATAGCAATCACCACCAGAGAGCAGTGCCAACAAACTCTCCATCAACCATCTCTCACCCTGCAAGTTGCAGGCTGCCAGGGGAGGCTGATGCAGAGGCCAGGAGAGAGCGAGACCCCATTTCTGGGTCAGCCAATGATACTGATGAGAAGTCCATAGCAATAACTGGGGATAAATGTGATTTATTCACACCACATGCTATTAACTTAACAGGCTGGTGTTAGTTTTGCTCTCAGCCTGTGAACATATTCATTCACAAGTTCCATCCTGCAAGTGATCCAAAGAACTGATCCAAAATGAGGTAGCTACCCTAAGTGAGGGTAGCAGCTTTAGCCATGAGACCAACGCTATGGTCACAACATGGGCTTCCTGTTTGCTTCCAGGTAAAATTCCTGACATATCCACATGGTCTCAGCTCCTGGGTACGTAGAAGACCATCTTTCCCAACAAGCTTTGACATCTTCTGGGCGTTCTTTGAGGAAGAGAATGCTAAACGTTCTCACCCCATATGAATTGAGGTGGATGCCTGACAACAAGACCCCACCCTCTGGAACCTCTCTCTCCTGATATGGGGTGCCCCAATTTCCTAGTTTTTAAGAAGCCATTGGCAAGGACATTGGGTGTGAATGATAAAAGGCCTGCCTTTAATTACTTTCTTTGTGATGGGTTGCTGGAGATTAATTTGTGTTTTATACTTCTGTTGTTCTGCCTCGAGTCCTAGAAGGTGGACAGCATATAAAACATTATATACAGTAAATCCCTTCATCCAAATTGCAACATGTTGTTACAGCTGATACTTTGCAATTAATGACTTGCGTGGTAGAACTGAATCCTTCAAACCAACTTCAAGTCTCAACAGCCAGGGAACAGCTGAAATTGCTCCCTCACCTTCAGTGTCTGGTGCCTCCCATATCAGCTCTCTGGGTAATGGAGATGGAAGATGGCCATAAAAGCATTAAGGGGTTCCTTAAGAAAGGGGCTGGTAGAGATTTCAGAACCAGGTTGGGATACTCTACCAACCACCCCCACCGTGGCTTGTTGCCACCAAGTTAATTTTATACAGCCCAGAACCTTTGAAAACTGTTCTCCAAGAGATCAGCTCAGATCCCTGTTAAGAACTATCTGTCCCTTTGCTAAGGAGGGAGAGAAGAATGTATCAGGAAGAAAAAAAAGGGGGAGGCATTGAGGGTAAGGGGATGAGTGGGTGCTCTGCCCCCTTTTTGTTCTGGCCCTTCCAGTGCCTGCTTCAGCCCCCCCTCCAATCTCCCAGCAGATAACTCTACTTTAGAATCTCAAGAACTTTTGGACAATAAAGCCAAATGGGGAACTTAAGACGACCTGAGGACTTACCAGCCCTCCATGCCTAATCAAAGGGATCCTAGCTGCAGGGAGATTCATTGAATGGCACAGAAAGCAGTGGAGAATAAAATGCTTTCCTGCAGATAAGTGTCTTCGTTCGTTCGTTTGTTCGTTCGTTCGTTCGTTCGTTCTTTCATTCGTTCATTTTGTCCCTGAGCAAACAGACAGGTTTGCTTAGAAGACAAATGACTTTGCTCCTCCAGAAGTTTGCTTCCAAACATTTATCCCCCACCCACACATCCCCCGTCTGATCCCCCTTGGATTACAAAGCTCCTGGTTCACAACCCTTTCTCTGTGTCCAGTTATTCCCTGGGAATATTAATCCATTTTGTTTATGGCCACCGAGGACAAAAGTGTGCTTTCAGAAATGGATTGGTACCTTCTGATTTCTTGATTTCTTTCTTTTTAATCAACAGGAAGAGATGGAACAGTGAGGTTAATTGGCTTGGCCCATTTTCATTTGGCTTTCATTTTTATATCCCTTATATTAACTCTTCTGTTTTCTTTTGCCCTCGACAATTGTACTGTTTTGTTCCAGATCCACTTATTCCTCTAGTCTGATGCTACAGAGTAATATTAATTAGTAAGGTGGACAATGTAATTAAAATCAGCCCTGAATTATTTCAGTGTAATGTAGGGGGTGGAAGGAATTATAGCTACAGCCATACTGTCTTACAACAGAAAGGTCAAAATTGGGCTGAATCCCCTGAAATCGAGGCGGTGGTTAAACTGCAAAAACAAAAATCAATCCATCAATCACTGCACGCTCTCTTTGATTTAGTTATTTTTGGTAATTCAGTAATATCAGATGTCACTGAACTCGCCTTCAGATTGATTGAATTAAAACTTAAGTCATTGAGATACCTGTCTATGTGATATTCATTGTGGCTGATTTAATTCAGATTGGGCTACCTTATCTTGGAGATGCTCAGGTTCTAGATGGGTGAGGATCATGAACCACATAAAGTTGAGGTGGCCGGGGCCAAGAAATGGGGAGGGCCAGGAGAATAGCTGCATTTGATTTAGTTTGACACTTAATGAAAAAGCAATTGCATGAGTTATTATGATGGTTCCCCCTGTCTTCAAGATGCCCTTGAGCTGCACCCAACTCCTGGTGACTTCATGGACACATCCATGTTGTTTTCTTGGCAGCAGAATAGAAGTGTTTGGACATCGCTTTCTTGAGGGATGTCTTTTACTTCCTAGAATACAGTCTTAGGATTCCCTGGTAGTCTTCCATCCAGTATGAAACAACTCTCTCCCTGCTTAGTTTCTGAGCTCAGAGGAGGTCACCCAGATGCTGCCAAATCCTGAGATGTATTTTTCATATTTTCCCTTTCTGTCACATTAAAAAACACAGTGCAGGGGGTTTTTGGGTGGGTGGG